AAATCTCTCAAATTGTTTTCTCTTGAAAAAAAGAATAATTAGAGGGGATCTGATTGAGGAGTTTAAGATTGTAAAGGGAATTGATAGTTTTGACGCATCATCTTTTTTTCATACTTAACACCAAAAATAGTAGAACTAAGGGACACAAATATAAATTTTGGCACAGTAGGAGTCATCTTCATTTAAAACAATTTTATTTTTCTAACAGAGCGGTTGTTCTTTGGAATGAGTTACCTTCAGATGTTGTGGAAGCAGTAAATTTAAGTGAGTTTAAGCGAAAGCTTGATAACTATAAGAATGATAAGGTCTGTCTTTAAGATATTTTTTAAAATTAATATATTAATAGTTTTCGTTTAATTTAGAGGATGGGACAGCCAAGATGGACCAACAAGTACCATGTTGTCCCAAAACATTATAGATTATACAAATCAGATTTTTAAGATAAGAAGTAATAACACAACATTATTTATTTTATATTTTTAACAATATTTAATTAATTAATTTATTATTATTTTATTTGAATTAATTTTATTGTCACTCACAAGAACAGGTAAACTGGCAAGTTAAACTTGGTGTTAAAGCACAGGTCATGAGTCAGAATATTTTTGTTTTGTTGTTTTAGTTAAGTGCAACAAATAACTACTTTACTTATAAGTTAGTTACAGTAAATGAATAAAACTGAGATTTGTTCAGATAGGACAAAATAGTGTATGTAGCTATATGAACTTAGGAAATTCATACTAACATATTAATGCTTAATGTTCTTCTTCCAGTTGAAGTCCATGCAGAGCTAATATATGCAGAGTGTTTGCTGATGAATGCTATCTTGACCTTTGTATACGATCAAAGTTTACTCACGTTTTTGAAGGGAGGAATCCGGATTCGATCTTGCTATCAGTCTTATAAGTAAAAATCATTTTTCATTACTGTTGCTATTTTCTGTTCATTAATATTAATTTAAGTGAATTAATCTTATGTGTACTTTTAAATATCATATTAAGCAGTTGTGTATTCTATTTTGGTGTTAGTGGTGTCATTTTTTAGAATACTAGACTTAATTTAATGAATATTAATAAATATAAGATTACCTTTGTCTCATACTTACCGCTTGGTTGACTTTCATTTCTGTAATGCTGGAGTGTAAGTGGCTACATCATTGCATAACAAGATATGAGACATATTTTTCTCATGTATACATAATGCAAATTTTACATTTTGTGAAGGTATAATTGTTGGAGTGGTCAGTTATTTCCTTTAGTTGGAGTAGCGGTACTTATTTTAATATTGGTTCCATTCCTAGTCAGGGTGGCAGATTAATCTAACTAAGCAGGATGCTTAGAAGTCTGACCTGACCAAGCTTGAACACAAACCTTGACTCACACTAAAGCTTTACTATGTGAGTTCTCAAGGCTCAAACAGATAACTCCATAAGCAGATTTGTTTCCTAAACCAATGTAAGATAGTTTGCAGTTAGCCAACATGTGGTAGCAAAAAGGGAGTACATGTTGTATTGTTTGATTTTAGTTGTGATGGCAACTAGTCATTGGTCTTAATTTTTAATGAGTTAAAGGGACATATCTTATTAAACATAAAGCTTACAGAGATTAGATATTTTTCTTTATGTGATGCATTTATAGAATAATTATTTTAAGTAAGTATTGTTTTCATTGGTATGTTATTAGTACGTTGTTGATTTGTGAAGTGTTGTAGGAATTTCTGTAAATTATCAAACCACTTCACTGTAGTACATTGAACAAAATTTGAAATTAACAAGTTTTCATTTAATGTAGTGTATTTGCTTTAAAGAAGTGTCTAGTATAGTTTTCCTCTTCTTTTTATTGCAGAAATAATTGAATTGTTTGCTCTTTTTAATTACAATGTAATTATCTAACAAGATATCAAATTAATTTTGTTTGGGATTACTAAAAAATTATCATGTGTTCAGTGGCGTAGCAAGGGGGAGCGTCGCCCCCAGGCGCAGGTGTGAAGGGGCGCAAAATTTCCTCTGGCCTGTAATGCCTATTAATTAATAATTATGCCTTCCCCTAGGATATAGCGCAACTGCCCTGTGTCAAGTAAATACGACACAGTGTTACATTATTCGTGTGTGTTACGCTTGCAGTTTTATCTTTTAAAAAGCCGCCCACTGAAATACAGTGAGACCGAATTGAGGTACAGAAGTAAATTACACTATTCCATCATTCATCTGTAGATCAAATGCAAGTCCTAGAGTACAATGTACATGTAAGTGTATGTTCAACAAAATGAAAATACGAGATTGATGTAACATATTAACTGGTGTGCAAGATTGGTAATGTATGCAACAGACAAGGCCTAGATCTAGATCTAGTAAACATTATAGGCCTAATGTAGTGGTTTGTAGTTGTATTGGCTGATTGTAAATCATGTCTTACACCAACCAGTGTACTAGACTTTAGGTCTAATTGCAGTTATAACTTTATTTCTAGACCCTAGGTCCATCATCATACAAATTGTAGCCTGTATTATAGCATACTTAGACCTATGCTAACTATTAAACTAGGCATTGCACTGGAACAGATCTAATGACTAAGTTAATAGATCTAGATGTAACATTTGGTCTAAAAGTTAGGCCTGATAAATCTAAATCTAGAATTGATGAGGCAGGGTTATATATAGCTCTGGGTAAATTCAACACAAGGTGCTTTCAATCTATGCACCCAAATCTAAGGTCTAGTTTAGATGTACAAAGCTAAATTTCTGTCATTATTATTACATCTAGATCCAAACCTAAGACTAAAAAGATGGAAATGACAGGTCTAACATTAATGTTAGATCTAGATGTACTAGCGACTTAATCTAGGAACTGAAATCTAGCACCACTAATTAGTTAGCCTATATTTAAGTTCTCATTCTGTCAAAACCTTTAATATTAAATTGTTACGCCTCCAGTCGTTAGTTGATTTTCCGTAACTTCGTTCCGACAAAACTTTAGCGACACAAGTCCTTTCTTAAATAAAACTGGTTTATTCTTTCCAAATACAACTTTACGATACACTTAATTTCAACAGTCGCTCTATAACAAACGCTATAACTCACGAGGTCGACTTCAACAATACTCCGTTCAATTACACACTCTCTGACTGCAGTTCAATTACTCATTAGCTACACACATTGTCCCGTCATGTTGTGACCATCTTGTATATACCAGACTACCCCCAATCTAGTAAATGCTAGGGCATTCACGAAGGTTCGAGAGAAGGAGTGGCGTGATACTAGTTACGTGACTTCGCTGACACAACAAAATATAACCTTTGAGCCTCTAGGCTTATATTATGTTATGATTACACCCTTCTCCACAGTGTGTAGTTTTCATTTGAGCAATTTCAGACTTGTCTCTTGTAGTGTTTGTTTAGTTAAACATATCAAGTTTTTAAATGTGATTTAGCAACTGCCAGTAATTTATATGGTGCTCATAAGCATGATTTACCAGCATATATACTCATCTGCATTGATTTTCTTACTGTTGTGTCGCATTAATTAACATGAGTATGGGTGGTCTAAATAATGGCAGTTAAAGTGAAACCAGGTCCAGATGTGTCTAAGTAGTCCTGAGTTGCAGCTATAATTGTATAATTTAAATATAATTTGTGGTTAGGAACTTTGGAAAGTCCAATGCTTCCTTTCATCTGACAATTTGCATGTTGCAGCTAAATAGTGTAGTCAGTATTTATTAATTTATTCTTTTAGCCCATTATGTCGAAAAAAGAAAGTGGGGCACAGGGATACAAAAGACGTGCACAATTTGCAGGTTCAATGGTGGAGTCAAGCTAATTGATGAGAGCTTTCCTTACTGGAAGTGATGACACCAGTAAGCCATCATATGTTCCTTTTGATGGCAGCAAAGAGGTCAAAGTGTAAGATTGTGAACATGCTATTTCCTTTGAATGAAGAAACTGTTCTCTGTCCTGTTGAAAGCTACAATAA